TTAAATTATAATTATATACATATTTGATTGGTTTAGAACTGTTGTTCATAGGGCCACTATGAGTCTTAGTCTATTTGACAGCACCTAACAATAACAGTATGATTAATACTACAGTAAATACTTAGTTGGTTTTGGTCTTTTCCTTTTTTAAATTTTATATTTTTTTAATGCAACATATGGATTTTTTCCCCATCATATTCTTCCCATTTGATTTTTTTCCCCATTCAATAATTGTTGCACATTTTCAACATTTAGTTGTTTTATAATGAACTCTTTAGGATTCCCAGAAAAGGAATACTGGGTAATAAAAAGAAAAGCCCAGCCTTTTCAAAGGTCCCTAATAATATATTACCAAAATATTTTGCTATGAGTTGTTATATTATTGTTAGTTACTGTTGAGTTTGTCCCCCAACTCACCACAACCCATGCACAAAGAAAGGCAAGGTTTTCAAGTCTTGTGCCTTCCCCAGGATCTGTTGCAGATTATTCATAGGCTTTTCAATGGTTGATTTGAGGAAGCAGATAGCAAGGCCTTCCTTCCTAGTCTTAGTCTGAAAGCTCTTCTGATACTTAGCCATACATATTATAGCTACACATAAGCCTCCAATGATGGACAGCTGTTGGTTGCAGATGAAGCACACTGGCTGGGCAATAAACTGTCTCTCACAGAAAGTGAGAAGTCTACCACTAACCCATCTCTGCCTCCTTCCATAAAAATTATTGTTACATGTCATCAAGTCCCAATCATCTCATAGCTAACTCTCCAGTGGGTTCTCAGAAGGAGATTGCCCATTTTTTTCTTGTGGAGTAGCTGGTCTGGTGGCTTTGAATTGCCTGCCTTTGGTTTGGCAGTAACACTACCTACCACTAGACCATTAGAGTTTTCATTCATTTAGTTAGGTAATTTCTATTTCTACAGCTGTGCACAGCCTACTGGATCATTTTTCATTCAAAGTAATAGGTTCACTTAACATACCTGTGTAAATGAAATCTAGAAGTACACGAAAGATTCTAGCTTCAATTCCTAAAATCTGTACAGCGTCTTTGGAGGACTCTTTCATTCCTCCAGTGAACAAAGCTGCAAAGTAGGGACTACTGGCTGCCAAAACCAGCCGATGAACTTCGAAAGTTTCTTTCCCGACTTGTAGCTGAACATCACAGAAATGCTGTCCATTCCTCATTTTGTTGATCTGGGTCATGATGAACTGGGCATGTTTATCTGAAGTAAAAGGACTGTCACCAGCCTTGGAACAGCCTTCATCAGCCATGATGATGATATATTAGTTAAATGAACTATTGTTCATAATCTGCCTCAGTCTGAAAAAGAAAATACAGAAAGATAAAGCAACATGTCTTTATACTTAACATGGCTTCCATTCATACACAAATATACAAAGCATTCCCTCAAAGGAGTTTACTATCAACTTAGGGACATAAAATACCTATGAAACAAATAAGAACTGGCCCGAGCAATATTATTTCTAATATTGTTTCAGAGAAGGAAATATATAATGCAAGTTAAAACAATTTTAACAGAAAAATTTCACAGAGAAAATTGAGACCTGTCTGGGAACCAAAAACCCAACAGTATTAAGGTGTGAAGAGAAGGCTAAGCCTTTTGAGGTGGAGTAGGGAAAATGAGAAAAGATATAAAGGAAAAAAGATCTTAAACTCTGTAGTTAGACAGCTTACACTGCAGCCAGAAAGAACTTTTTTTTTAAAAATTTTACTATTTTTGTGTGAGTGTACCGTCAAATCAGACCTGACTGGTACAGGATGAGATTGTCCCTTCTTCCCCAGCAGAGCATCTGGTGGCTTCGAACCGTGTGCCTCTGGGATTGTAGTTGCAGCTCCTTACCACTAGGCCACCAGAGCTCCCCAGAAAGAACTTTTAAAAAGAAACTGAGTGCGTATATCCTCAAAACAACGGAAAGCGGAGACTCAAACAAATAAATGTATCCCAATGTTCACTGCAGTATTATTCACTATAGCCAAAAGATGAGGACAACCAAATGTCCATGAAAAGATTAGCTAAATTTGTTACATATGTTGTTGTTGTTATGTGCCGTCGAGTCGTTTCCGACTCATAGCGACCCTATGCACAACAGCCCTAAACCCTGCTCTATCCTGAGCCAACCGCACT